ATACTTGCATATTCAAGAATAGGAATGACCATTAACAGGAGCCCATCAAATTGATGGGCTCCTGCCATTAATTGTTGACGCATAGATCCTTCTTGCATAAACTGAGAGAAGTTGCTTGATTCGTTTTAAGACACCTTAAAGTCTCTTTGCTATTTTATTATGTAGCTGTTCAATGTGGTCATGGCAAGAAAGATGCTGGTTTATGATCACTCCAAGATACTTGAATTGGCAACGTTCTCCAATTGATCATTGTTGGATACAAGAGCTGTGTCACTGAATTGACTTAGTTTGTTACGTCCTCCAATGACCAAAAGCTTCGACTTGGTAACGTTTATTGTCAGCTTATTGTCATGTAACCAAGATGTAATAGCTGCCAAGTCTGCATTGAGCTTTGATTGCAAATTGGATGGCGAGTTCTCATGACAATAAAATGCCATGTCATCAGCAAACATCGTCATCTTTGAGTGCTGCAGTTCAGATTGAATGCCATTAATATACATCAAGAATAACAATGGTCCCAAGATGCTGCGCTGTGGTACTGCTATCGTGATTTTGGCTGGGGTAGGGCAATGCATTAACACACATCGTTTGTTGAACTCGACCAGAGAGCTATGAGTGGAACCATTCCAAACTTTTCCCTGCTACTCCTAGTGACTTGAGCTTGTTGATGAAGAGCAGATGATCAACAGTGTCAGACGCCTTGCGAAGGTCTACGAACATTGTTCCCGTCACACATCCTTTGTCCATACTTTCTAGGACTTGATCTGCAAAGGCGATTAAGGTAGTGGAAGTTGAACGCTTTAGTCGGAAGCCAAGCTGTGATTGTGATAATAATATGGTTTCTTCCAAAAGGAACTCAACTGAATATGTGCTGATCTGATCTTGCTTATAGTTGGTAAGATTGAAATCGGTCGATAATTGTCCTTTAATGACTTATCTCCATCTTTAAATAATGCAGTGACTTTTGCACACTTCCAGACCCCTGGAAACACTCCATCAGTGAAAGATTTATTGATCAAACCAGCTAGAATTGGGCGATGACGTCAGAAGCGTCCTTCAACAAACGAGCACTTAATTAGCTTATCAAGTCCAACAGCTTTGTTAGGTTTAAAGGATTTAGGGACTGGTCAAAAAGTATAGAGGGGTGGGCCGGAGCAGAGAGGGGTGGGTCATGAGGTTTTGAGCCTTGTGCAAGGGGTGGGTCGTGCAAATTTTCAGCTACCCTTAGGGGGTGGGTCACCCTATTTTTTACTAACTACTAACGAGACAGTTGACTACACTAGTTATATAAAACACAGCCAACTGGAATTATTACTAAAATACTCACAAACCTGTTGTGCGAGAAAATACAAAGGTTGACAGGCCGCACATCTATACGGGCGTGGAACCCTCTGTGAACCGTCTTTCTTCTTTTTTGTAAGGAAATGATTGGTGGTTCTTTAAGAATTTATTGAAGTTATAGTTGGTTTTGTGTAAGATTCCATTTTTTCATTCAAGCTTCCTTTATACTGGACACTGAGGGCTGGTATTGTGTCACGAATGACAATATTTCTTTTTCCTCCTAGTTGTTTTGTTTTAGGAGTTTAGACTCCCTTTTGTGAATTTTATTTCTGATAGTAGGTTTTCTATCAAAGATAGGGGGCACCCAACGAGAATATACTTCAAAACCAATTTAAACAGTAGATATAAGCATATTTTTATCCCCTAAAAACTTTCCATCTGTTCGGATCTCCTAGCTGAAAGTCTAGTGATACGAAAATTATAGGGATCAAAAAATACGCAATTATACCGTTTTTTTAGATGTTGGAAAATCCTTGGAGGGGCAGACAAACAAGAAGTTTTACAACAAATGTTCCGAAAATTCTAGATCTCAAATCGTCTTTCGAACAGATATTTTCCGAAAATTGACGTTGGGTGCCCCTGAAAGATTGTGGGTAGCCTCCGTCCATCAAGCGTTTTTTTTTTAAATTTGAATTATTTTCCTCAAAGGTTGTTTCTGAGGAGTGTTTTCGTAGGATTCTTAAGGTTTCTCCTTTGACAAATTCTTTTTTTAACATTTGGAGGGTGACACGAGGTGAAATGTGTGTGCAAGAAGCTTTCCGTTTGTTTAAAATGTGTCTTTGCATCAAGGATAGATTTTTCCTTGAATCTTGTGCCTTTGTATACAACCGTGTCTAAAAACGCAGTCTCAGTGTCAAATGTTTCGGCCGTGAATTCATTAGTTGGGTGATGTAAGCTTGCTTGTTCAATGAAGGCTTCGATGTCTGGTTTACTCATGTCCCATAGAGAAACGTTATCGTGTATGTGGCATTTCCAAACTGTAGTTCTAAAGACCGTTTTGCTTAGAGTTGTTGTTTCAATATATGTCATGAAAACATTGGCAAAGGAATTAAAACTGCTGTCTTTGTGTTCCATGGTTTTGTAGGTAGTGCTTTCCACTGAAGTGGAAGAAATTTTCTTTGAGGATTAATCTAAGCATTTCCGGCAAGTAATGTGTAGGAATGGGTTGTCTTTGTTGAAATTTTCATATGCTTTGTTACAGAAAATTTCAATATACCCTAGTTTTGCTGTATATTTGTGTCAAGACTCATATTTAAATGTCCATTGAAACAAGAAATGTTCGGTTTTTCACATTCGTCTTTTCAGTGAAAGGTATGATTTCTGTGATTTTGATATTGGTTGTAGCAGTGTATCAACAAATTTTGTCAAGTACAGAACAAGGTTTTATTGGATTATTAAGAGGAAACCGAACATCCATGTTTTAACTAGGGGGTGGGTCATGCAATTTCCAACCTTGCTTTAGGGGTGGGTCAGTCATTTTTGTGCCGAAGGGAGGGGTGGGTCATGAGTTTTTATCAACCACATTTCCAAATGCTCCGCCCACCCCCCTCCCCTATACTTTTTGACCAGTCCCTTAAGGGCATTACGCACGAAGTTCATATTAACATTATCCAGGTGGAATTCAATAGGAAGGGTGCTGGAAGTGAAAACAGTCGAAACGTTTTGAAATGGTTTTGCCAATACTCTCCCCACGGATACAAAGTACTGGTTCATGTTCCTGGAGACAGAGAAAATTTCGGTGTGCCACTTCCCATTTTCAAAGATTGAAGAAACAGTCGACTTTTTAGTACCAGGCAGTACCTGTTTTATTGCGCCTCACATTTCCCAGGAAGCACCTCAAAAGAAATTTTTCAAAAAAGACTAAAGGAATTTAAAAAGCACCTAAGAGAGAGAGGATATCCACAAAATTTATCAAATCTAACTCTCTCTCTCTCTCTCTCTCTCTCTCTCTGAAATACACTTTGAAAACAAGAAAAAGAAGGCACTTCAACATAAATCTTCAAGAGGGAAAAACATTTCGCCCTTTTTCAAGCCGAATCAACCATCAGTTCCTAGCCTTAAAGCATTTTCATGAAACACTGGCAACTGATAGAGAACCAAGTTCTTCTAAGACAGATCTACAAATAACCTCCAATTATATAACCCAAACGAGGAAAGTCTCTAAAGGATATACTCGTTCTGCAAAAGCTTAACTCTGAGAATTAAAAGCCATAAACACGTTGGTGGAAGTCGTGATGTCAGGCTTGTCAACCCTTTGTAATATTTCTCGTTCCCCGTGCTGCTGGTGAAACTTTCAAAATGTCTAACTTGCTTCTACAGTCACCTTTCGCCTGAAGAACACCTCACTTTTACGGACAAGCCGATAGGGATAGCGGCTAAATTCCAATACAAAGTCCTATTACTACGAACTCTCACTGTTAGAAACACTATCTCATTGCGACATGGTCTCGAGGTCGTCCTGATAGGAAGAGTACGTTGTACTTCTCCACAAAGATTTTGAAGCCGGAAGGCCACAGTTGATGTGAGCATGCTACTTTTAAAAGCACAATCGATAAGGCTGAAAACCGTTCAGCGAATTATTATTATTATCATCATCATCATCATTATTATTGTTGTTGTTTTGTTGTTGTTCTTGATAATGATACTTATTATTGGGCTCACTTGTCCTCCGACCATCCATTTCAAGTTTATTACAAAGTGCGACACTTTATTTTTATTACAAAGTGCAATGGTCTGTTATTACAAAGTGCGGCAAGTGTTATTACAAAGTTCGATAAGTGTTACAAAGCGCGAGAATCTTATTACAAAGTGCGATAGGTGTTACAAAGTGCTACGATTATTACTAAGTGCGACAGAACACCTTTTTTAAGGCTCGTTGCAGTTATGAAGTTCAAATTTAGCACGCACAAAATATATTTATGAGACTTTGCATTTAATAGGTTTCGTATGGCAACATTGATGAATGAAAGCAAACATTACATTTTCAGTTTCAGTATTATGTTTACGTAAAATCCAGTCATTAAATTTTCTCAGTTATGAATTTACACCCAGCTTGCAATCAGTGACTTAACCAAATGTAACTGTCAGTTTTTTAATTTTTTTAAGTGAATCAGTACTTGATTATCTCTCAGATTCAGCCCAGGCGTTCTCTCTTGTCCTGTTGTCCGCGCGAAGTCTGGGAATTTGGTGACGTCACAGCTCATGGTAGAGTTCAGCTTTGACCGAGTCGAGAACGCATGGAGACCAGGCTGTCTCTAACTTCTTTTTCCAACTTTTAATTTGATGCTTTCTTAGACTAAATGAGATTTGAACAAGATTTCTGCCAAATTTCGTCAAATTTGAATGACTATTTTAAGATATTGTCGCTTGTTTACATTGCCTATAGAAATCAACAAAGTTGTCCCCATGCAAAGAACGCATGCCGAACACTCGTACAAAAAGTGGAGGGAGGGGAGGGCAAGGCTCACCTGGCCCCGCCCCGTGCAGTTTAATCTCAGTTTCTCGAACTTCCAACGCTGCTGAGTCACAATTTTGTATCTTCCAAAACTTCCTGTTTGAAAGTGAGCTTTAAATTATTGTGATCGGCTGCCATATTATTTCTTCCTGTATTACTATTTTCCTGACTTCTAAAACAGAACAAATGCAAACCTTGCCTAAACTCAGAAATTCTTAATGCGTACACCATTGGATTGATAAAAGAACTGGAAAAATGGATAAAATAAGTGAAAAGGAGAATGTTTAAAGATGTGTTTTGACCGAAAAGTCTTAACAAATAAAAAATAATTGCGGGGATCCAAGAACTCAAGGTACCAACAGATACTAATGACAGGGCTTTCGTCAAACGCCAGATTTGCATTTGTCTGTTTGGGTAACAAGAAACAGATTTTTGCTGAATCTTTCTCCAAATAACGATGCTGAGGCCGCAAATAGTTACAATTAGTAACAAGCCGTATAAAGTAGCGAAAGCGAAAACAGCTCGCAGACTCAAGCGGAAAAGCAATATATAAGTCATAGAAAATAAGATAGCCAATGTCCAAGCCATCAAAATAACAAGCTTGTATTGTCGCGTGGAAAGTGTTCGGTGCTTCAGCGGCCAGAAAACGGCGTAAAATCTTTCGGCAGATATCAACGAACGAGGCCATAGAGGAAACCGTAAAAATAATTTGAAGAAAAGTTGGAAATTCTGTAAAATACAACCTACTGCGAGTCGCCGTTACTAAATAAACAAATAAAGGGAGACTTGCACCTCCCCACACCAGATCAGCAAACACCATATTCATAACAAGATGTAAGCTTTTCTTATTTCGCAGCTTCTTGTTAAAGGTGGAGAGAACAATTGTGAGCAAGTTTCCCAGGAAAATAAAAACAGCTTCTAACGCAAGAGCACAACTCCAAGCGATGACTTGTGCATCAGAAAGCATTTCGTCCATGGCTGAAAAGGAATTATTGAGTGACGAAGTTAAAGCTGACATATTCTTCGTTATTGTTCCTGCCATTGCTTTAATTTCTAGAAATGTTACTTTGAAGGTGTACGGGAAACAGCGGAAACGTTTATTTACAACTGCTGGGACACAAACCCAAGCGTTGTTATAAGTCTTATAAATGCAATTGCGTTTGTTTTTCAGTCGAAACTAAAATTCTCTATTGTTGACTGAGATTACACCATATTGATACTTTTAACCATCTGTTTGCAAAGTAATGTCACCACCTGGGGGGATTCTTCCAAATTGGGGCTAGATAGGTATGTGCCGCCTGATAGGGAATTGTTTTTAGGGTCTCCATCTTTAAATAGGGTATCTTTTTTGCCCTTGTTGGCGTTGTGTTCCCGGTGTGATCTTTACTAGAAAGGCTAATGTTATTGTATCAGCTAAAATTTACGTGCGTAAATTATACGAGAAACAAATCATATGTTAAAACAGAACTTTACTTCTGAGTGTTAGGAAAACGATTTAAGGAAGATTTGTGCTTTTCTATTAAATTATTAGTTTGTATTTCCCCTTGAATTGGGTCTCATTTTTCAAGCTTTGCCCTTTAATTAAAAGGGGAACAGTTTCCTTTGTCTCATTCCTAAATAGGGTCAGTGTTTAAGACCCTGGAGGGTACACTGTCTACAAGAAGCGGCCTGGAAAGAAAAGCTTTGGTTCGTGTTCTGTAAGAAGGGTTTTGCTTGAAAAATGGGATACACGCGGAAAACCAGCTGTGAAATGAAGAGCTGGAAACCTGTAGGAAGGAAGTTGTTGCTCGGTTGGGTCTTTTTGCTTGAACTTTTCTTGCTTTTTCGTGCTTTTTATTACCGTAGATTACTCTTTATTGCCTAGCTGTTCACTTTGTAAAAGCGTGCATTAAACTTTCAAGTGTAGGTAGGAGGAGAAAGGGAGGAAGTAGAGGAGAGATGATGATTAGGATAATGAAAGAGAGCTGATCGTTTTTACCTTCTGTAGACATGAAAAAAATTTTCGAAGGGCCAGTACAACCATTAAAAGTCTTGGAAAAAAACTGGGGTATTAATCTTTTTTACCGGATCCGCTTCAAACGAACTCCCCTTAAGGGTAAATCTCGAGGGGGAGGGGGGAGGGGCGTGAAGACAAGTCTGGGTAGGGTTGTGCCGCCGAGGCCTTCAATTTAAACTAACATCATGGAATTTAATTGTTGGGACCGCACATGTAGACCGCTCATCGCCAACCTTCACACTCTTTCCAAGCGACACCATGTTAAAGGCGCTAAACAGTAAAATTGTCTGGAGCCGGTTAGAGCTGGTTAGCCAGATATCCACAACCTGATCAGTGGGACATACCCGTCTAGGCCAAAATAAGCCCTGTAAATGAGGCTAGCATGGACAAGTAAAAGGGCCCTTTCTCCTTTATTCCCACTCAAGTCCCTACGCCCTTCCCCTTCCCCTCCTGGGCACTTCAACACTTGGGTCCTCCCCTCTTGGTACTTTTGTCAGTTGCAATGCGATCACGTCATTGTAATTGACAGATGACCGCAGAAACGGTTTTCCCGCGAATAGCTAAAACATCCATGGTTCGATAATCTTTTTAATATTGACTGTAGAAAATAAGAGTTGTGTGTTTATTTTCTCATATTTTTTTACGGGGGAAAACGGTAAAAAAAGTTATGAAATATGTTTACCCATTATACAGGAAGAAAAAAAAATGGAAAAAAAAAAAATGACATCGGGGTTTCCAATTTTTGTATTTAAATTGAAATAGACGAATGACCCACGGACCAAGTTTGCCGCCATAATAACTACTGCTTCCGACGCAAGACCACAACTCAAACGATGACCTGTGCTTTAGAAAGGATTTCGGTCATAGTTGATAGAGAATCATGGAGTGAGGCAGCTGAAGGTGACATATTGGTCGACGTTGCTTGAAAGGCGAGCGAGAAACAAAAACGTTTAACAACCGGGCCCCCTGATGTCAAATGCTATAGTAAAGGCAATTGAGTTGGTTTTTCACTCAAAGTTAAAGCTGGAGCTGATTATGTATGTGACCTGCGCCTTAGAAAAGATTTTGGTTATGAGGAATTATTGGGCGAGGAACTGAGGTGTAGCTAAGATATTTGCCATTGCTTGTTATTTCTACAAATGTTACATCAAAGAGGAGCAGGAAACAAGGACGGTAGATAACCTGGACCTAATGCCAAATGTTGGGGTAAAGACAATCGCGCTGGTTTTCTACTTGAAGCTAAAATCCTTTTTCCTTAACTGTCAGCTGTCTAAAATGATATCTCTTTGCCACACAATAAAAATGGCCTCGTTTGTGTACACAGTCTCTCTGTTTGCGTAGTAATGTCAGGTACAAAGCAGAACTTTTAGCAACTGATTATATGAATTGACCACCTGTTCTCCACAAAATATCATGCTAACGAGCACCACATTTTTTTTATTATCACAAGAAATGTCTTTTTCTACAACCATAAAATAAAAGTGTAAAATATTTTAGTTATGATTGAAGGAAACGGTAGGTCGATAGAACTTAGTCAAGAGCACCAGGAGTGGCCGTGGTCGCGACAAAATTTCGGTTTTGAAAGAAATTGTCGTCTAAAACTGGGATTAATTTAATTGCAGCTAAGCTTCAAATCAACCGAAGTGGCATGAAATGAAAGGGAGAATACTGGTTCCTTCCCACAAGAGGTAAGGAAAAATTAGAACCATGAGGAAATCAGTAACTATTCTTTGAAAGCACTGGGAAAAGCAGCAATGATCTGGAACAAAAATTTATTTAGTATACTTTATTAGGATCTGTAAGAAATTTATTAGCCAAAAGTACCAGTCTTTTTTTTTTTGCTTGTCATCGTTTATACTTTTAAGTTTATCTTGAGTGCTTATACGTGACTGATTATATTTGACGGACACTGCACGAGCTTTCAAATAAGTTTTACTTAAACTTAGTTGCTCAAATTTGTTTTGTTTCCTTTCTCCAGACAGGCTTTCAATGCCAGTAGGTCTTCTGGCAGGATATTGCATGCCAGTAAATAACGGCTTAGAATTAAAAGTGCCAGGGATGTAGCTAAAAACTTTCCAGGGGTACGTTTAGTTTTTTTCAAATCAAACCTACGGTGACCTCATTTTCACGCGAGTGACTTGATTGAATTTCAGTTTTTTATTTTTATTTTTCGGGCAGCAGTTAGGGCCTTAATTCGCGGGTTGCCAAATTGGGGAGAAACACTTCATTTTGTCTTGAAAATTATCTAAAAGAAGTTAAGATGAGTGAAGGTGCGAGTGCCCCGCTTTTCCTTATTGATAATTTGTGCGTATCATTCCATTATCTGAGTCTTGAATCTGTTCTCGGGATTTCCACACAAAACCCGTAACATTTGCAGCCGTGTTGATACTACTTTATACAATACAACACGTAAGTGACTCTTGCACAGAGCCTTTAGTGCCTGTGCTTCGACCAAAATTGCAAGTGGTGTTTGAAATGATCACTTAGCTCATAAAGTGAAACGGCTTTTTTATGTAAAAAGACTAGTAAGCAGTTTCTCAGGGTAAAACTTACACTGTTGGTCACAATTTTGTGTCCTTGCCTCCATGTACAATTTTCTGTTCGAAAGTGAGTTGGGCATGATTCTGGTCGGCTGCGGCCATATTAAGTCTTTCTATATTTCCTTTGCTGTCCATCAATGCCCTTCTTCTAAAACAGCATACATTAGGCAAAGCTTGTTTAATCTCAGGAATTCTTATTGCGTACACCACTGGATTGATAAACGAGCTGGAAAGATAAATAAAGTAAGCTAACAGCAAAATGTGGTCATGTATGTTGTATCCGAAGGAGCCTATTAAATTGCAAAGAGATATAGGGATCCACGAAATCAAAGTAAAAGCAGATACATATAATAAGGCTTTTGTTAAGCGCTGCTTTTGAAAGGCTCTATTTTGTTGATGACAAGGAGTTTTCTGCTTAAACTTTCTCCAAATACCGATGTTGAGGCCGCAGATAGTCAATACGAGAAGCAAGATGTATAAACACAGGAAACTGTATAACGTCATTGGGCTGCAGAAAAGTAGGACATAAACCGTGGAAAACAGGATAGCCAACGTCCACACCATCAAAACAACAAGCCTGTATGCTCGCGTAGAAAGTGTTCGGTGCTTTAATGGCCAATAAATGGCGTAAAATCTCTCAGCAGATATCAAAGCAGCGGTAATAGACGAGGCCAGTGAGAAAAAGGCGCAGATGATATTGCGGAAAAAAGATATTTCATATGATGCCTGGTTTTCAGGAGTCACCAGGAAAAAAATAAAAGAAGGGAGAAAGATACCTCCCAACATAAGATCAGCAAACGCCATATTCATAACAAGATATAAACTTTTCTTTTTTCGAAGCTTCTTGTTAAATGCAAAGAGTGCAATTGCGAGCATATTCCCCAAGACGACAGCAACAGCTTGCGCCGAAAACGCGAAACTCTAAGCGATGGTTTGTGCATTCGAAAAGATTTTCGCCCTTGATGAAAATGAAGAAGAAGAGGTGTTAGCTGATACATTAGTCATTGTAAGTTTACTGCAAACAGTCACCTATCTTCAATAATATGTCAGTGAAGAAACAGGGCTCTGTAACGAACTTAATCCAGTCAGCACCAAGTGTTTCTGTCAAGGCAGTTGCTAGTTTTTTTTTTTTATTTGAAGCTAAAATCTATTATTGTTGACTGAATAGGTTTTAAATGATGTCCCGTTTTCTACATAATGAAAGATTTAACCTCTCTGGTGCACAAACCATTTGCTTAGTGATATCACCCGCTAAGCAGTTTTCGAAAACCGAACTGTATAAGTCGCCACCTGCTCCATTTGGAGAACATTTACATAAGTTAATTCACCAACTCAGGGAATGCTACGAGTATTTTTTTAAATTTGATATGTATAGCTTGAACACAAAAGCCTGAATTCGGCTAATATATTGCTGTGAGCTCAATAAAAGGTCAAACTAGTTTTTTGACTCTGAGATTTAAACGAAATGCAACTCCCTCCATGACTGAAAATTATCATCGAAGAAGGGACTATAATTCATGGCTAACCTTAAGGAAACTCATGCAGTTTAAACCTAAAGGAAGCAGCGGGACACTTGTACATGTTAAGTGCTCCCTTAGTTGTGAAGAATAGAAGAAAAAAATGTTCATTTCCAGAACGAAATATAAAGTTAAAAGTGAATGATACAAATACGCTGAAGTAACAATGAAATCTCGGCAGAGTTCTGTCCCTAAAATGTCATTTCATTTGTCAGTACACTTAGACTATTAGGGATCAGTAATCAGCCAGAATATCTAAAATGAATATGAAGCGTCTTTACTTGATATTTTTTACATACTGCGGAATACATATTTTTTTAGGTAAGATCGTGAAGATTAGTTGTGCAACACCTCAAGCTATCATGTTTTACTGATGCGAATAAAACAGAACAAAACAGCTGTCTACAGCTGCCACTCCCCGCTCTTCAGAAAAGTGCCACTGGAACAAGGGTTTCAACTGCCTTTTGAGGGATGAACAACCGCTCATTTCTTGAATCTTCAAATAAGGGCGTAATGAGCGTTGGAAACATTTTGAATTTTACTTTTAAATTTCTGTTGTTATCCAACGGTTAATTACGGTTAATTATTTCTGAAGATGTACATGTTGGAACAAACGAAACGTCAAGTTAAAGTTTTATTTCTTTCCAGAGATGCCTTATTATATTGTTACATTGTTTATGAAAGACAACATAACAAGCGTTCTCGCATTGCTCCCTAAGTACGCATGCTCAACACTTCTTCAACATGGACCACGCCAATAGCCCTTTGTCACGTGGCGACCATTTTGTCTCAAAAGATTTAAAAAGCTTTATTTATGCCCGGCTAGCCTCGTAGAGAGAACGAGGCTAGCCGGGCATAAACAAAGCTTTTTAAATCTCTTGAGACAAAATGGCCGCCACGTGACAAAGGTCTATATCCAGCAATCTCAAGACCGAACAAGTTAAGTGAATAAAGGATTACCGTTTAGCCATAAAGAGAACTTTTTCTTGCGGCATTAAGTGGGAAAACTTACTAACTAAAGGTAGCCAATCAGAACAAAGGATTCTCTTTATCTTGCCCGCTTGCGGATTCAGCCATGTGCTGGTGTTAATAATGTTATCCGCTGGTGGATAGCTCAGATAGCGCTATCCACCTTATTTGAAAAGCTGGGGCTAGATCAAATTTTATTAAATTTCACGTCATCCTCCAAAGAAAGTTAGCTAAATATCCAGATGCTATATGTAAGTCAGTTCAAATCGAAGAAAAGAAAAATTGGCGTGGCTGAACACAGTTTGATGACCGGGTCGTGGGTGGTAATCACTCATTCGGCTGTTTGTTCAGTCGCACTTTGTAATAACCGCTTGTCGCACTTTGTAATAAACTTGAAATGGATGTTCGGAGGACAAGGAACAACAACAACAACAATAATAATAATAATAATAATAACAGAAATAATAATAACAATAATAACAATTTATTCATTCCAATTTCTTGGAATAATTATCTGCAGACACATTTTATAGGTGGCCTATCTTACATAATGTGGTTTTCAATAGGGCACAGCGTAAAAACTAAAAACTACAGTAGTAAAAATGACAAAATATTAAAATAGATGAACTAAAAAATGTCACACTAAGCGAACTTATTGAGATTTAAAATGCTTAAGTCATGAAATTTTAAAAGCATTATGAGGTAGACATCTCATGGTCTTCTGAAGGGAATTCCAGTATGTCAATGCACTATGTAAGGATCTGAGTAGACCCCAGTTTGTGTTTGATCTAAAAGACCTAATAGTTTCGTTGGAGCGGGTGTTATGGCTATGATAGTCTGAGCCTCAAGTAATCATACTGTTTCTTCACTGTCATATATAAAAACACCGTTGCATTAATCTTCTGGTTTATAGATTCATCCAGTTAAGATCTAGAAGTGCTTGAGTTGACGAAGAATGCGTCGCTCGATCCAGAACTAGCTTGGCTGCTTTATTCTGAAGAACTTGAATAGAATCCATTAAAACTTTGTTATTTTTGTCACCCTATACGATACTTGCATATTCAAGAATAGGAATGGCCATTACCAGGAGCCCATCAAATTGATGGGCAAAATCAACCATCAGTTCCTAGCCTCAACTTCTTCTAAGACAGATCGACAAAGAACCTCCAATTATATCGCCCAAACGAGGAAAGTCTCTAAAAGATATACCAGTTCTGTAAAAGCTTAACTCTGAGAATTAAAAGCCATAAACACGTTGGTGGAAGTCGTGATGTCAGGCTTGTCAACCCTTTGTAATATTCCTCTTTCTCTGTGCTGCTGGTAAAACTTTCAAAATGTCCAACTTGCTTCTACAATCATCTTTCGCCTTAAGAACACCTTACTTTTGCAGACAAGCCGATAATACGGATAGCAGCTAAATTCCAATACAAAGTCCTATTATTACGAACTCTCACTCTTAGAAACACTATCTCATTGCGACATGGTCTCGAGGTCGTCCTCATAGGAAGAGCACGTTGTACTTCTCCACAAAGAGTTTGAAGCCAGAAGGCCACAGTTGATGTGAGCATGCTACTTTTAAAAGCACAATCGATAAGGGCCTGCTCAAAACCGTTCAGTGAATTATTATTATTATTATTATCATTATCATCATCATCATTATTATTGTTGTTGTTGTTGTTGTTCTTGATGATGATACTTATTATTGGGCTCACTTGTCCTCCGACCATCCATTTTAAGTTTATTACAAAGTGCGACAGTTTATTTTTATTACATTTGCGATGGTCTGTTGTTACAAAGTGCGACAACTCTTTTATTACAAAGTGCGACAAGTGTTGTTACAAAGTGCGATAGGTGTTACAAAGTGCGAACATTTTATTACAAAGTGCTACGATTATTACTAAGTGCGACAGAACACCTTTTTCATAGGCTCGTTGCAGTTATGAAGTTCAAATTTAGCACGCACAAAATATATTTATGAGACTTATGAATTTACACCCAGCTTGCAATCAGTGACTTAACCAAATGTAACAATCAGTTTTTAACTTTTTTAAGTGAATCAGTAGCTTTCATGTACTTGATTGTCTCTCAGATTCAGCATAGGCGTTCTCTCTTACCCTGTTGTCCGCGCGAAGTCTGGGAATTCGGTGACGTCACAGCTTATAGTAGAGTCCAGCTTTCACCGAGTCGAGAACACAGGGAGACCAGGCTGTCTCTGATTTCTTTTTCCAACTTTTAATTTGATGCTTTCTTTGACTAAATGATATTTGAACAAGATTTCTACCATTTCGTCAAATTTGAATGACTATTTTAAGATATTGTCGTTTTTTTACATTGCCTATAGAAATCAACAAAGCTATCCCCAAAGAACGGATACTCAACACTCGCACAAAAAGCGGAGGGAGGGGAGGGCAAGGCTCACCTGGCCCCGCCCCGTGCAGTTTTAAGTCTCAGTTTCTCGAACTTCCACCGCTAGTCACAATTTTGTATCCTCCATAACTTCCTGATTGAAAGTGAGCTTTAAATTATTGTGATCGGCTACCATATTATTTCTTCCTGCATTAATATTTTCCTGACTTCTAAAACAGAACAAATTCAAGCCTTGCCTAAACTCAGGAATTCTTAATGCGTACACCATTGGATTGATAAAAGAACTAGAAAAATGTACAAAATAAATGGAAAGGAGAATGTTTAAAGATGTGTTTTGACCGAAAAATCTTAACAAATAAAAAATAATTGCGGGGATCCAAGAACTCAAAGTACCAACAGATACTAATGACAGGGCTTTCGTTAAACGCTGGATTTGCATGTCTCTGTTTTGGTGACAAGGAACGGATTTTTGCTGAATCTTTCTCCAAATAACGATGTTGAGGCCGCAGATAGTCACAATTAGTAACAAGCCGTATAAAGTAGCGAAAGCGAAAAAAGCTCGCCGACTCAAGCGGAAAAGCAATATATAAACCGTAGAAAATAAGATAGCCAGTGTCCAAGCCATCAAAATAACAAGCTTGTATTCTCGCGTGGAAAGTGTTCGGTGCTTCAGCGGCCAGAAAACGGCGTAAAATCTTTCAGCAGATATCAAAGCAGCGGTATTAAACGAGGCCATAGAGGAAACCGTAAAAATGATTTGAAGAAAAGTTGGAAATTCTGAAAAATATAACCTACTGCGAGTCGCCGTTACTAACTAAACAAATAAAGGGAGACTTGCACCTCCCAACACCAGATCAGCAAACGCCATATTCATAACAAGATATAAGCTTTTCTTATTTCGCAGCTTCTTGTTAAATATGAAGAGAACAATTGTGAGCAAGTTTCCCAGGAAAATAACGACAGTTTCTGACGCAAGAGCACAGCTCCAAGCGATGACTTGTGCCTCAGAAAGCATTTCGTCCATGGCTGAAAAGGAATTATTGAGTGACGAAGTTGAAGCTGACATATTCTTCGTTATTGTTCCTGCCGTTACTTTAATTTCTAGAAATGTTACCGTTGAAGGTGTACGGGAAACAGCGGAGACGTTTATTTACAACTGCTGGGACACAAAACCAGGCGTTGTTATAAATGCAATCGCGTTGGTTTTTCAGTCGAAACTAAAATTTATTATTGTTGACTGAGATTACACCATATCTTTTAACCATCTGTTTGCTAAGTAATGTCACCCCCCGAGGGATTCTTCCAAATAGGTGCTAGATACGTATGTGCCGCCTGATAGGGGATTGTTTTTTAGGATCTCCATGCATCCTTAAATAGGGTATCTTTGTTGCCCTTGTCGGCGTTGTGTTCCCGGTGTGATCCTTACTAGAAAGGCTAATGTCATTGTATCAGCTAAAATGTACGTGCGTAAATTACACGAGAAACAAATCATGTGTTAGTGTTAGAAAAACGATTTGAGGAAGATTTGTGTTTTTCCATTAAATTTTTAGTTTATATGTTGAATTGGGTCTCATTTTTCAAGCTTTGGCCTTTAAAAGGGGAACAATTTTTTTCGTCTCATTCCTAAATAGGGTCAGTGTTTAAGACCCCGGGGAAGCGCAACACTCGGAAACCCGTTAGTTCACAACCTGCTCGGTTCTACCGAACGCTAACGATTACACTGTACAAATTCAAGGTTACTTTATTGGAAACATCTTTTATAGAACTATATAGTGAAGAAGCCTAAATCCCCATAACATTACAGACTAAATAAGACAACTAAGAGCCAATAAAAAAGAGAATTGAGAAAAAATGATAGCTCTGTCTATGGTCAAATACAGAACTCAGTTGCACCATGAGTAGCCGTTGTCATTCAAAAAAATCTTCTTCCAACAATTTGCTTAATTAATCTTTATACCCTTCAAATCAAACAAAGCAGAAGGGTTTTAAGTAGGTGGTCACACGTAAAATGTCCCTTACCAGAACAAAGAAAAATTAACCGAATGCAACTATTGATTTCCTCAGGAAGTGTACCTATATTGAGTTGCCTGCGTGCAGATGTCTCCTGGCAAATATTGAAATGCAAAATAAGGACCTCAAAGGAAAATGCTATTAGTATATTTAAGATCTGTAAGCGGTTTAATCAGCCACAAGTAGGTATAAACTAATACCAGCCATGTTTGTTTTGGTTTGTGTATTGTTTTTAACAAAGCCTCACGCTAGTGCAATCTACGGCCTGTTGAAAGTTCTTATACGTCGAACGAAACAGCTTCTTACGCCAGCTACCTTGTTCTGTTGAGTTCTATCTATTGTGTGCTACGTTATGATTATTGAATTTTCTTGCCAATTAAGCTTATCTTAATTGCTTACATTCTTGATTTCTTATATGTAACTGATTTTATTTGACGGACACCAGTACAATTAGAGTTCAAATAAGTTGTACTAAAACTTATTTGCCCAACTTTTTTTTGTTTCCCTTCTCCAATGAAACAGGCTTTCAGGGCCAGTAGGTCTACTGGCACGATATTGCCAGTAACTAACTGCTTAAAATTGAAAGTGCCAGAGGTGAAGCTAAAAACTTTCCAGGGGTACATTTAGTTTTTTCAAATCAACCCTAACTACCTCATTTTCACGCGAGTGACTTGATTTATTTTTTATTTTTCCGGCAGCAGTTAGGGTCTTCGCGCGTGGCGAAATTGGGGAGAAACACTTCATTTTGTTTTGAAAATTATCTAAAAGAAGTTAAGATGAGTGAAGGTGCGAGTGCCCCGCTTTTCCTTATTGGGAGCCTCTGTGTATCATTCCGTTATCTGAGTCTTGAATCTGTTCTCGGGATTTCCACACAAAACCTAACATTTACAGCCGCGTTGATACTACTTTATACAATACAACGTGTAAGTGATTCTTGCTCAGGACTTTTGGTGCCTGTGCTTTAACCGAAATTGCAAGTGGTTTGAAATGGTCACTTAGCTCATAGAGTAAACAGTTTCTCAGAGGGTAAAACCTCAACTGTTGGTCACAATTTTGTGTCCTGACCTCCATGCACAATTTTCTGTTCGAAAGTGAGTTGGGCATGATTGTGGTCGGCTGCGGCCATATTAAATCTTTCCATATTTCCTTCGCTGTCCATAAACGCCCGTCTTCAAAAACAGCATACAATATTTGGCATAGCTTGTTTAAACTCAGGAATTCTTGTTGCGTACACCACTGGATTGATAAACGAGCTGGAAAGATACATAAACAAAGTTAGCAGCAAAATGTGGTCATGTATGTGGTATCCAAAGGAGCTTATTAAATAGTAAACAGATATTGGGATCCACGAAATCAAAGTAAAAATAGATACATATAACAATGCTTTTGTTAAGCGCTGCTGTTGAAAGACTCTGTTTTGTTGATGAGAAGGCGTTTTCTGCTTAAACTTTCTCCAAATACCGATGTTGAGGCCGCAGATAGTCAAGACTAGAAACAAGACGTATAAACACTGGAAACTGTATAACGTCATTGGGCTCCAGAAAAGTAGGACATAAACCATGGAAAACAGGATAGCCATCGTCCACACCATGAAAATAGCTAGCCTGTACGCGCGCGTAGAAAGTGTTCGGTGCTTTAATGGCCAATAAATGGCGTAAAATCTCTCAGCAGATATCAAAGCAGCGGTAATAGAAGAGGCCAGTGAGAAAAACATGAGGATGATTTTGAGGAAAAAAGCGGATCTTTCATGTGATGTCTGGTTTTCTGGAGTCACCAGGAAAAAAATAAAAGAAGGGAGAAAGATTCCTCCCAACATTAGATCAGAATACGCCATATTCATAACAAGATATAAACTTTTCTTTTTGCGAAGCTTCTTGTTAAATGCAAACAGTGCAATTGCAAGCATATTCCCCATGACGACAACAACAGCTTGCGCCGAAAACGCAAAACTCCAAGCGATGGTTTGTGCATTCGAAAAGATTTTCGCCCTCGATGAAAATGAAAAAGAAGAGGTGTTAGCTGATACATTAGTCATTGCAAAGTTTACTGCAAACAGTCACCTATCTTCAATAATATGTCAGTGAAGAAACAGGGCTCTGTAACGACCTTAATCCAGTCAGCACCAAGTGTTTCTGTCAAGGCAGTTGCTAGCTGTTTTTTTTTTTAATTTGAAGCTAAAATCTATTATTGTTGACTGAATAGGTTTTAAATGATGTCCCGTTTTCTACATAATGAAAGATTTAACCTCTCTGGTGCACAAACCATTTGCTTAGTGGTATCACCCGCTAAGCAGTTTTCGAAAACCGAACTGTATAAGTCGCCACCTGCTCCATTTGGAGAACATTTACATAAGTTAATTCACCAACTCAGGGAATGCTACGAGTATTTTTTTAAATTTGATATGTCTAGCTTGAACACAAAAGCCTGAATTCGGCTAATATATTGCTGTGAGCTCAATAAAAGGTCAAACTAGTTTTTTGACTCTGAGATTTAAACGAAATGCAACTCCCTCCATGACAGAAAATTATCATCGAAGAAGGGACTATAATTCATGGCTAACCTTAAGGAAACTCATGCAGTTTAAACCTAAAGGAAGCAGCGGGACACTTGTACATGTTAAGTGCTCCCTTAGTTTTGAAGAATAGAAGAAAAAAATGTTCATTTCCAGAACGAAATATAAAGTTAAAAGTGAATGATACAAATACGCTGAAATAACAATGAAATCTCGGCAGAGTTCTGTCCCTAAAATGTCATTTCATTTGTCAGTACACTTAGACTATTAGGGATCAGTAATCAGCCAGAATATCTAAAATGAATATGAAGCGTCTTTACTTGATATTTTTTACATACTGCGGGATACATATTTTATAAGGTAAGATCGTGAAGATTAGTCGTGCAACACCTCAAGCTATCATGTTTTACTGGTGCGAATAAAACAGAACAAAACAGCTGTCTACCGCTGCCACTCCCCGCTCTTCAGAAAAGTGCCACTGGAACAAGGCTTTTGAGCGATGAACAACCGTTCATTTCTTGAATCTTCAAATAAGGACGTAATGAGCGTTGGAAACATTTTGAACGAACAGTAATGACGTCATCATGGCTTGATGACGTCAATAAGTTACAACATGAAATGGGACCGTCCTCTTGCCAAAATTTTGAAATGGTCGGACACCCATTGCGAGATAAAGGAGACTATGCTGATTGGCGATTTAGGCCTGTCCAGAAAATGTCAGCACTGAAAAACTTTACCTTTTTTAGTTTGCACTCCTAGATACTTGAATTTGGTAACGTTCTCCAATTGATAATTGTTTGCTACAAGAGCTATGTCATTAAATTGACTTAGTTTGTTACGTCCTCCAATGACCATAAACTTCGACTTGGTAACGATTAGTGTCAGCTTATTGTCATGTAACCCAAGATGTACTAGCTGCCAAGTCTACATAATGAGTTTTGATTGCAAATTGGTTGGCGAGTTCTCATGACAATAAAATACCATGTCATCAGCAAGCATCGTCATCTTTGAGTACTGCAGTTCAGATTGAATGCCATTAATATACATCAAGAATAACAATGGTCCCAAGATGCTGCCCTGTGGTACTCTCATGGTGATTTTTGCTGGGGGAGACAATGCATTAACACACATCGATTGTTGAACTCGACCAGAGAGATATGAACGGAACCATTCCAAGCTTTTCCCTGCTACTCCTTGTGACTTGAATTTGTTGATAAGGAGAATATGATCAACGGTGTCAAACGCCTTGCGAAGGTCCAGGAACACTGTTCTCGTCACGCATCCTTTCAGTCCATACTTGAACGCTTTAGTCGGAAGCCAAACTGTGATTGTGATAGTAATCTGTTTTCTTTCAAAAAGGCACTTAACCGAATCTGTGCTGATCTTTCTTACACTTGGTAAGATTGATATCGGTCAATAATTATCCTTTAATGACTTATCTCAGCTCCATCTTTAAATAATGCAGTGACTTTTGCTCACTTCCAGACCCCTGGGAACACTTTATCAGTAAAAGATTTATTGATCAAACCAGTTAGAATTGGGGGATGACGTCAGAAACATCCTTCATCAACCGAGCACTTAATTAGCTTATCAAGTCCAACAGCTTTGTTAAGTTTTAAGGATTTAAGGGCATTACGGACGTTAAGGATTTAAGGGCATTACGGACGAAGTTCACATTAACATTATCCAGGTGGAATTCAAAAGGAAGGGTGCTGGAAGTAAAAACAGTCGAAACGTTTTGAAATGGTTTTGCCAATACTCTCCCCACGGAGACAAAGTACTGGTTCATGATCTTGACGTCAGAGAGATTTTCGGTGTGCCACTTCCCATTTTCAAAGATTGAAGAAACAGTCGACTTTTTAGTACCAGGCAGTACCTGTTTTATTGCGCGCCACATTTCCCAGGAATCACCTCAAAAGAAGATATTCAAAAAAGTCTAAAGGAATTTCAAAAGCACCTTAGAGAGAGAGGATATCCACAAAATTTATTAAATCTAACTCTCTCTCTCTCTCTCTCTCTCTCTCTCTCTCTCCTCTCTCTCTCTCTCTCTCTCTCTCTCTCTCTCTCTCTCTCTCTCTCTCTCTCTCTCTCTCTCTCTCTCTCTCTCTTTCGTGCTACAGCTCCTGTAAGCCATGAATGTTCAATCTAGTTTTCGGTACCCTGGCAAAAAGCTCAATCTATAATCAAGCTTCAAAGGAGGCTTTTTCTTCCCTCATTCCCGCCTGGCTACAAGGTTTTGTGCATATTGTTGAGGCCAATAATCACCTTACTTTGGCATCGTTGCACATTAATTTCTGTCACGCGTACGTAGAGCCTTTCTGCCATGATACGCGCATCAAATGTCGTGACATTTCCACTCGTAACTGACCCAGCTTAGCCTGAGAAAACAACTGACATTTCGCGACGCCACCACTGGTTTCCCCTCGAAATGACGTCTGAGAAACGAACGCAGAAATTCCATACTGATGACGTGTCACTACCCAGATCTGGGTAGTAATTCTGATTGGTTAAAAATTTGCTTTCACCAATCAGAAGTACTACCAAGATCTGGATAGTGACAAAAATCAAAATCCATCCCCGTTGGGACCCAAAGTAGCTCTCACTACGGGGGTGTACACGTGTAAGGGGGTGTTTGCGTGAGAAAACTCGCACCGGCGCGAGTCTCATACTAGGATGACGTTTTGATTTCGTATCGCGTTTACTAGCCTCCTCCGCAGACATTCTTAGGCGTACGCCTAAGAATGTCTGCGGGGGAGGCTACGCGTTTACATGATGACTGGGTCATTTCATACCTCGTCATTTGAAGGTACCACTGGACGAAAAAACGGATTTACCCCTATAGCAAATTTGGAGCAAATCATCTGCAAATGCCACATTTGCTTAATTTTGCTCAATTTTGCCACATGACATAGGACCAACTTTGCCATAATTTTGCATTAGTGGCAAAGGTGGTAAATGCCGAATTTGCCTCAAATTTGCCCCGTGTGTAAAAACAAGGATAACCTTTACTTTATCAAGGCATTTACAGGGGTGTCAAACTTGATAGCAAAACTGACATTTGTCAGGTTTTTGCCCAAATGGGCAAAAGCGATCGAAGATGAATTTTTGAATGCTTTTGCTCTCTATAGCAAATTCGGTCAAAGTAGTAATTTGCCACATTTTTGCTCAATATAGCAAAAGTGACCAAAATTCATTTTTCAACAGTTTTGCCCAGGATAGTAAATCTGAGTAAAAATTCACCTTATTTGTGTATCGCCCAGTGTAGTAAATGAGGTCAAATTATCACTTCTTCCGTATCTTTGCTCAGTGTTGCAAATATGATCAAAATAGGCGTTTGCCACTGTTTTGCTCAGGGTAGTAAATTTGGCCAAATACCACTTTATTCTCAATTTTGCTCAGGATGGCAGATATGATCAAAACAGTAGTTTCCCATACTTTTCCCCATTGTAGCAAAGTTGATCAAATATCAGTTCTTCTGTATCTTTGCTCAGGATGGCAAATATTGCCATGATAGCAGTTTTGCATACTTTAAGTAAGGTAAACAAAGTTGATTAAAATATCACTTTTTTACACTTTCACTCAAGATAGCAAATTTGATCAAAACATCATTATCCATATGTTTCTTATTTTTATTTGGTACCATAAATGACTGACAAACAATTTAGACACCAAACAAAATGTGACTGCAGCGCTGCGCAGTCAGCGGTATGTTGTAAAAGCTTAGCAGCCGCACCAGATTTTAGTAAGCGGCCGCCATGTTAGCCCTTTCTCGTGTTGTTCAAGTTTTTGGATAGTTATCGCCATCCATCGGACATTATACGGCCTAAACGGTAAGAACTGTTAAAAGAACATTTTACGGAAAATCCCAAGAGAGTATTTCACACGACATTTTGAAGTTTAGTACTTACGAATCACGTATTTAGCCTATCATGTATTCGTCATGTCAGATTGTTATCTCGGGACTCAGGATCCAAGAACTAAGGAGTAAAAAGAATGTGTTGTACCGAGGACCTGTGAATAAACTACGTTTGGGACGTTCGTGTTGATTGTTAGCAACTCCTCTTGTTGTATGTACTACGGGAGGCCAGCCACAATAACAATCGTTAGACGATCTTCGTGTAGCAGTCATGTCCGTCAACAAAGAAGCAAGACCCGAAGACCAGGTCAATGTGGCGCTGGAAGAAGAAACTGATGAATCAAGG